AATCATGTTTTATGGTAGAAAATTTGTAATTTTTTAAAAATCATTTGATGTTTGATTTTTTTATATATATCTTTGTGTTAGACCATTGTGACACTTTGTATTAATGATACACATATGAGTGTTCACTTGGTCTTATATATGAGTGGTGTTTAGCATACTTTCAACAATGCTTACTCACATTTGATTGCCATGTTCATAATTGTATATTTTCCATATGGTATTTTGATAGGGGGAGCAATCCCTATATCTTTTTTTTTTGTTTATACTCACATATGCTTTATGATAGGGGGAACTTTCGCTCACTTATTATTTTGTTTCCCCATTTTAATGTTATCAAAGGGGAAGAAACAAGTTGATTGTGAGTATATTTTAAGAATATTGTGTCTTATTGCATATCTTATATACTCTTTGTGTAGATTGTTTGTCATCATAAAAAAAAGGGAAGATTGTTAGATCTCATGTTATAAGCCTACATCTTCTAATCTTATTTTGATGATTATAAACAATTCCTAATATTGTTTGTCTAGTGTTTATGTTTTTTTATCAGGTATTTTAGACAAACAATATGTTGGAGGATGGATGAAATCAAGCTTTCACGATCACATTAAATGGAGGTTGGCGGAATATCGGTATGAAGCCATTACATATAAAGTAATATTCAAGATCTAGCTCCATCCTCAACCAAGTCAAGCATATTGAAGATCTCATAGCTTGGGTAAATTAGTTTAAGGTTTATATAATGTGTGTTAATTCTATAAGCTCAAATATACACACACATTACATTTGTGAATTTTCATGAAAATAGGTGTTTTTATGCAAAATACATTCAAATATGTTTTGGACTATACAAACCATGCTAACATCTTTTATTATGTCCATAAAATGATTACACAAGTTTTCAGAACTTGATTTAAGCTAAAATGGCAAAAACAACATATTTGAAAAACATGTATTTTAGCACTTTTGAATATTTCTGAGTTTTCACAAATGGCAAGAGAAAATTCAAAAATTGCTTTTCCAACATGTTCATAATCATGGTTATAAATTTTTTTCAAAGTTTTACATTTTTTTGGAATTTATTTGCTATTTTTAAGGACTTTAAAATTCATTTTTAAAAAGTCATTTCAGGCTGATAACCTGTTATCAGTCGACTGATCAGTCGACTAATGACATTAGTCGACTAAAGAATATGCTTGCAATCTTTAAAAGTTTCTGTTTTGTTTTGGTCGACTGACCAGTCGACTGATGTGGTCATCAGTTAACTGATAAGGTCGTCAGTCGACTGATGAGCTAAAAAATACCTACAATGGTCAGCTCATTAGTCAACTGATGAAACCCGTCAGTCGACTGACTACCCAACGGCTAGTTTTTCCAGCCTTCTGTTTTTTTATCTTTTTACTAGATTTGTTTGGATTTTGTGCCTTAGTTTTTCTTCCTATATAAACCCCTATTGTTCTCATCAGAATTAAATTTTTTTGGAAGAAGGTTTTTAACAAGAGTTTTAAGTGTTTAAAAGTTTGTTTCTTAAAGTTTAAGTTTGGTGTTTGAGTTTACAAAGAGGAGGCTTGCATTTTCAATTGAGGAATTCATCCTCAATCTTCATCAACCTCTTTGTGTTTATAGAGAAGTTTTTCTAACTCTATTCTCTAGCAATTCCGTTTTTGTTTTTTCTATTATCATTTATTGCGAGTTTGTTAATTGAGTTAGGTTTTGTTTATACTCATTTTATCACACACACCCTATTTGAGCTTTTAGCATTTCATACATCATATATTGGGTTGTGAGATTGTGATTTGTGAGAATTAGCTTACATTGAGTTCTCTCACCTATTGTAGAGAACATTTTATTATAATTGAGCTTTATTATGAGTTACACGTTGTATCATATTTGTACACTGAGAGGAGTGTATGGTGAGAGACGGGGTTGTCTCAAGAGGAGTGTCGTCAGTAGTAATGCCTAGAGGTAGGTCGTAATTCCGAGCACTTGAGGTAAACACGGGCTAGAGACCAACACTTAGAGGGTGTAGAGTGTGATTGCAATTGTGTGTGTTGTAAAGTTTTCGGTGAACTAGAAAACCAAATTGTGAGGTGTAAACGTTGTTCGGGTGAGCTTAGAAAACCCGGTTGTGATAGTAGAGTTCTCTTCGGGAGTGGGGAGCGGAGACGTAGGACGGAAGGTCCGAACTCCATGATCATATCTTGTGTTTGTGTTGGTCATTTGCGCACCATCACCTGTTTATTTACTCTTTTTCATATATCCTTATATATATATATCTCATTGTGTATCTCATTGTTAGAATATTGCACTTTGTTTATATTGCTTATTCTTGCTCATATCATTTTGTATATCTATCTTGCAAGAATAACTTGTTAATAAGTTTTAACCGACATTAATATCTAATAAGATTAGCAATAACCCTATTCACTCCCCCTCTAGCGTACTTTCAGAGACTTCTAGACATGGTGGAGCTGGTGATGAGGATGATGATGATAATCAGGAGGATTGATTTGTATAATTTAACTTTAAAAACAATGGGTGTGTGCTGTATAAATAATATTTATTATGTCAGGATATTTTTATTTGCTTTTATTGAAATATATGCGTTATATATGCGTGAGAATGAATATTATATTACTGATTGAACAAGGTTTTAAATTTATTATATTATTGTACAAGGTTTTTTTAATTTTCAAAATATTTTTAAAAATAATTGAAGTCTTTTTTAGCGATGGATTGGCCGTCGCTAAAGATACATTTAGCAACGGAAAACGGACACGTGAAAATGAAAACGGACACGCTTTTAGCAACGGAATGTCTGTCGCTATTATTTTTTAGCTACAGAAAATCCGTCGCTAATATAAAATTTTTTTCTTTTAAAAAAAGCGACGGAAAGTCCATCGTTGATTTTTCATCGGTGAAATTTAGCGATGGAATTTCCGTCGCCAAAATTCCTATTAACTACCCCTAATGTACGGACGATAATTTAGTGACGAAATTCTTTTTATTCCGTCACCAAAAGTAATAGCGACGGATTTTTGACTTTTGACGACGGATTTGTCCATCGCCAAAAGTCCTGTATCCAGTAGTGAGTAAATCTAAACTACAAAGCAAATAAAGAAATAAAGAAAATTTACTCTGCAAAGCATTAAAAGAAGGAAAAATAAAATCCAAACTAGAAAGCAATAAATGGGAAAGAAAATAAATCTATACTACAATGCATGAAATAAATCTTCATTACAAAATAATAAATCTAATCTATCACACATTAAATAAAAATAAGAAATAAAATCCTAAAACTTGCAATTCTAAAATAAGAAAATAAAAAGAGGAAATAAAGACTTACATTGTAAGGGGTTAGTTCCTTAAAAAGCAAATCTTCATCACCAAAGGAGGAGAAGAAAAAAAAAATGGAAAAAGAGAATTTTTTTTATTTATTGCAAATAAGAAGTTTATAATTTGGAAGGTTTTCTCAATTAGCAGTAACTCTCGTCTGCAAATAGAGTTTACGAAATATTTCACATCCCTCAGACCCGCACTCTCTATCCCTATTTATATAGATTACACAAACTAATATTAGCACTTAGATCAAACTTAGCCCAAAGTTACACAATTTCAACCCTTAATCTATAATTTTTAACTGGGCGTCGATAGCAGTATCAATAGTTCTTTGGTTCTAATATTTTGCTAGAAATTTTGAGAGAGGAAAAAGGGAGAAAGCTTAGAAGGGATGAAGTTTTTATTCTATGTTTTTTCCTCTTCATGATTGCTCCGTTATACAAACCTCTAGGAAGAGATGTTGTAAGGACAGACCCGTGTTTTCTCTGTAGTGTCCAGCATCTCTCTACTTCACCTTTAATAGTATTTCTCACATTCCTCTTTTTCCTTTCTTTTCCATTCGATAGAGATGCAGGAGAAAATTGGGATTTGTTACAACCATTTTTAAAAGGATAAACTAATAACATGTAAAGAGATAAGATAAAATTAAGAAACTTAACCTTTTCCATTTAGAATATAATTGTAAGGTTGAAAGTGTTCATCTCTGCCTGTGATATGAATCACGCATAAAATAAAGATCAGATAGTTTAAATTTATAAAATTCATCCTTTGATAGGGTTTTTTGATTGATTGTAGGCTCATGGCTTCCAATAAACTCAAGAGTCTATTGCCATTTACCCTCTTATTTTTTAAGAGGTACCTTTGATTATGGCTAGGGGTCAATGACACATAAAATCAGAAGAAACTCAAATGAAGAGATAAAGTTATTTCATTTCAAATTATTTTACCCTCAATTTATAATTGATATATCTTCAACTCAAGAGATATTGATTTGACTTTCTTTGGTAGAGATAAATTTTCTGATAGAGAGAGGACTTTTCCATCAGATAGGGCATTTTTTGTGGGATTCCATCATTCCAATGTGGAAAGGACGTTCACATAAGATAGAGATTTCAAAAGGTAGAGGAACGTATTCTATCAGAGATGGATTTTTTGCTAGGCTTCTAATGTAGAGAGGGTTTATATATTGGAAAGGGAATTGGATGGAATTTTCTGATAGATAGAGGACTTTTCTATAATATCCCAAAATTTTCTAGTGATAATAAGCCTAAGTTATTATTGTGTAAACAAATATCAAAGCAATGAGGTTAATAATATCTATATCTATACTATTTCTAAAAGAGAAAACACGTGTTAAAACTTTTGCATGCCCATTTGCCCCTTTTAACTTTCTTAATTAAAATTTTATCCTATATTTCTATCCTATTTATTCTTATTTTGCCATTTTTCCGTTTAAAATTATTAACATTATTAACTGTTGTTACTAGATTAATTAATTAAAATGCAAAACTTAAATAGTTAATTACCTGGCCTATCCTATTTTATAACGTCAAACTCTCTCTTCCATCCCCTTGTTTATTGCTCTATCATCCGCCCCTCCCCCCTTCTCTCTAAATTATTTCAACGCTCTACCTCTTCATCTAAAATT